TCCATTCTCCTACTAATCTTTTTTTTTAAATTTAAAAAACATAGTTTTTGGCTGTGCCACACAGCATGTGGGATCTTAGTTTGTGGGATCGAAAACTTAGGTTGTGGGATCAAAACCCACAACTCCTGCATTGAAAGCATGGAGTCTTAACCACCAAGGAAGTCCTCTGCTTTTAGTTTTCCCTTAAAATTTCTTACTTCACAAAACCTTACAGAAGCTCTATAGATCAACACAAATAAATTTATTGAAACATAGGTGGTTTACAGTTCAGTTCAGTTCAGTCACTCAGTTGTGTTCAACTCTTTGTGATCCCATGGACGCCAGGCTTCTCTGTCCATCACCAACTCCCAGAGCTTACTCAAACTCATGTCCATTGAGTCAGTGATGCCATCAAACCATCTCATCCTCTGTTGTCCCCTTCTCCTCCCGCCTTCAATCATTCCCCGCATTAGGGTCTTTTCAAATGAGTCCGTTCTTCACATCAGGTGGCCAAAGCTGGTTTACAATGTTGTACAATTTCTGCTGTATAGCAAAGTGACTTAGTTATATATATACCTCTATCTGCATATCCTTTTCATATTCTTTCCCATTGTGGTTTATCACAGGATATTGAGTATCCTGTGCTATGTAATATGACCTTGTTGCTTATCCACCCCATGTAAGTTAGTTTGTGTCTGCTAATCCCAAACTGCTCGTTCTCCACCTCCACTGCCTCACCCCCTTGGCAACCACAAATCTGTTCTCTCTATCTGTGAGTTTGTTTTTGTTTTGTAGGTATGTTCATTTTAGATATGTGTCATATTTTAGATTCCACATGTAAGTGATAGCATATAGTATTTGTCTTTCTCTTTCTGACTCTACTTAGTTTGATAATCTGTAGGTCCATCTTTGTTTTTGCAAATGGCATTATTTTATTATTTTTAATGATTGAGTATTATTCCATTGTATGGAGTAGTGCCATAGTGCCACTGTGAACATAGGAGTGCATGTATCTTTTTGAATTATAGTTCTGTCTAGGTATATGCCCAGGAGTGGGGTTGCTGGATCATATGGCAACTCTATTTTTAGCTTTTTGAGGAACCTCCATACTGTTCTCCGTAGTGGCCACACCAGTTTGCATTCTAACACATAGTAATAGATCAAAACTTTTAATGAGAATTCCTCTTCTAAAGGGGTCATTAGCTTGGTCATGGTTCAACTAACCTTCGAACCCAATTCTTTATACTTTTCTAGCATTTCTTCTTAGATAACTTATTCTGTGTAGGAAAGATTAATTGAAAGCTTAAATATGTGATTTTTTTCTTTGCTAAAATCTTGGACAACACTATTTTCAGAACACTACCCAAATTGTTCTCTGAGGTAATATCCAATGTTTATGCCAATTCACAACAATTCCTTCTTTTCCCAACTAATGTTAGGCTGGAAAGACCTTTTACTCAATGTTAGCATGTGGATGGTGTTTCTGGGTTTAAAAAAATAATTAGTTTTATTTTTGGCTACACTGGGTGTTCATTGCTGTGCTCAGGCTTTCTCTAGTTGTGATGATTGGGGGCTACTATTTGCTGTGGGCAAAGGATTCTTACTGCAGTGTCTTCTCTTCTTTCAGCACATGAACTCTAGGCATGGGGACTTCAGTAGTTGTGGCTCATAGGCTTTGTTGCTCTATGACATAAACAGAACAGGGAATGAACCCAGTCCTCTTCACTGGCAGGAGGATTCTTAACCACTGGGCCACCAGAGAAGTCTCAGTGTTTGTGTTTTTATCTAGAGACTAAGGAGCAAGATGACAACTCAGAGAGTCCTTCTTCGGGCATGTCTTTTTCTGTGGGACAACCTGGTTCAAAAAGTATCCTTCAGAAAAAAAAAAAACTTCCATACCTAGTTTCAACAGGTTTTATTTCTGTTGTGATAACTTGTTTCCCTGTGTCATCCAAGGACACAGCTTGTATAGTGTACATCATGATCAGGCTGACCATAGCTGTAGCTTTCAGGGGTGGTCAACTATCTCAGGTGTTTGGGGTAATCATCTGGTCCTTCCACTTACTTTCACAAACTTCTTGCTATATTTTATCAGACTCCAGATTCCCAGAACTGGATTAATCATAACCCTTTGTGACACTGGAATTTAGTTTTGCAGCCCTAGGACAGCAACCTGACCTGGTTCTCTACCTCTTGGTAGACGATGTTAGTGATCACCTACTCTAACAACTTATTGTGATGCTCTTGTTCATCTTTGGAGAAACTCAGTTATTTAGCCAACAAGAATATTTCTTTGAAGATGAACATAATACTGTTTCTTCAGTACAGTGGGCATTTTTAAGGGCTTTATTAACCAGGGAAGACTTCCCTGGTGACTCAGATGGTAAAGAATCAGCCTGCAATGCAGGAGACCTAGGTTCAATCCCCAGGTTGGGAAGATCCCCTAGAGGAGGACATGGCAACTCACTCCACTATTCTTGCCTGGAGAATCCCCATAGACAGAGGAGCCTGGTGGGTTACAGTCCATGGTGTCGCAAAGAGTCGGACATGACTGAGTGACTAAGCACACATTTTTATTAACTCATATTATCCCCAAATGAGGAAACAGTAATCTCATATGAGGTAATTATTATCCCTACTGTATAGATAAGAAAACTGAGACTTAGGATAGTAACTTGTCCAAAATTTACATGACTTGTAAATGTCAGTGCTGGAATATGAAGTCCAGGAATCACTGACTTTGAAATGCATGCCTATACCTACAAATGAGTTCTTTCCCTAATTGCCACTCTCAAGATGCAATCTAGATGGGAAATGCTGGATGAATCTTATTTAATTAAACTAGCTCAAGCTGCTTCCCTGTGCTGGCCATAACAAGGTTATTCTCCATGCCCACCCAAAATATGAAGTCATCATGCACATCAATGTTAGTGTGCAAAGTCCCAAGGCTTTTAGCAGCATAAAGCAGAATCTTCAGAGATAGAAGCTTTTGCTGTTTAGTGTGATTTCACATGAGTCTCAAAATTGGCTCTGATGGTCTCAGTGGACACTTCCCTGCTTAAATAGCAGGACTCTGTAACAACTTTAGAATCTGTAAGAATGTGTACAGGATTTTCGATTAATAGCTACATGATAAATCTTTGTAGGAAAAATAGAAACCTGCACAGCTAACAATAACTTTTAACTCTAAAAACGAATGTCCTTGTTAAAATAAAATTGTTAGATACATTCTTTATGAAACTATAGTTTCAAAGTCCAGTCAAGAAAGTTTTTTTTTTTTAATTGGGATATCAAATACAGTACTGTATAAGTTTAAGATGTCCAGCATAATGGCTTGACATATTAATACATGTGTCAAGAAATAATTACCACAATCAGATTAGTCAACACCCATCAAGAAAGTAGTTTTCCATCAGAGATAAGCTAGTTACCTTATAAAGAAAATTAAATATAAATGCTTTAAAGAGATATAAGAAGATGGAAAACGTAAGAAGATAGGACCACCATGATTCAGACCTTTAGGAATGAAGGTTTGGGTCACCACCCAGCCAGATAAATAACTGACCAGCTGAGATCCTGGCTTGGAGCACATAACTATTTCATAATAATATATTTACATTTGTCTCAAATACATGTTATTGAATATGAAAACCCTTATCCAGAATAATGAGAATGGCCAACTCAGATTAAGAACAATAATCTAGGTCCCAGGGACTTGGTTAATTATGTTAGATAATAATAAGAGAGTTTTTTTTTTTGGATAATAGTATATACACAGTTGTTGTTCAGTAGAAAAGTCATGTCCAACTCTCGACCCCATGGAAGCACACCAGGCTTCCCTGTCCTTCACTATGTCCTGGAGTTTGCTCAAATTCATGTCCATTGAGTCAATGATGCCATACAACTGTCTCATCCTCTGTTGCCCCCTTCTCCTCTCAAAGAATCCTTACCCAGCCCTGTTTCAGGGCATTGCAAGCCAGCATCTTGGAACTTCAACAGACTGGCTCCCAAGAAGGGCGGCCAGTACATATAGAAAGTCATGTGCACTAAAACAGTGTCTGGGGTAATGTTTGGTGCCAGGTAGGTCATGGTGTTTTCACTATAACAAAGTCCATTTACAATAAAATATAGTTTCAGTGATCAGTTTGGGATACAGAGTGTGGGGTTTACCCAGCAGAAGTCTCAATCACGTGGCTGGTTTCAGGTCCTTGGGAGATCTGGAGCTCAAATCAGTAAGGATACTAAGAAAGGCTGTTTGGTGGACAAGGATAACCTAGGAACCCACCAGGGAGCACAAGGTAGTCTTAAGGTCATGGAGTAAATCCAACCCTTACCTACCCCATATACTCACAGAGTAATAATGTCAGTTGGGGTTCTTATTGACTGAAGGATGTGATTGGATTGATCTTACAAGAACCAGGTCTTTAGTACTGGTCACTGTACTAATTGGTGAAGGTAGAGACTTACAGGTGTCCTTTTGGTTAAATTGGTATCACCATGTCTTGACAGTGCTTCTCCTGTTTGTCTGATAGACACCAAATAATTTTGTCAGGGTTATATTTTACTGGGCTAGTAAGTGTTGGAAGCTATCTCTTTGGCTGTGTAGCAATTGGGCAGAAGTAATATAGTAATGAGAAGAAAATATTAATAAGAAGAGCTGAATGTGAGAAGGCAAGTCATCAGAAAATTTGAAAATTCAAATTAATTTAATCTTTGGGGTGTTGAGCCTTTTCATAGTTTCCAAGACTTAATTCAAAGCCAGAGAACTGGGAGCTGTCAACATACTTTGTATCTTAAAGAAAGAATAACTGGGGACTCATGGACTTTTTCCTGAGATTACTAACAGTGGTCCAACAAGATTACCAACATTGGTCTGTAAGATTAAAAAACAGATTCAGAGAAATCCTAATGATAACCTGTCTTCAGAATTTCTGGATAAATCAATCTTCAAATGATACTTTACTAATCTTTAATGTTAAAAGTTGTCTAACTCAAATAAAGATAATTCTGACCAAATTGGATAGTTTGCATCAGTAAGGAAGTTTATTGAAATTCATTAGTAAATGAGAACAGAAAGTTTTTCTTTTTTTCCATTAAAGAATACTTTCCGGTAAAGTGAAAAGGAGAAATACAGAAACCACAAAATACCGTTTAGACACCTTATGATCAAGGAGTGGACCTATTTCCATAGGCCATTAAGACTGAAGTGTTTCCTTGGAGATTTTTTTTCATGCATCTATGCATAATGGCCTGTGTGAGGGGAGCCTCTTTCCTCTTGATGTAGCTTAATAGTAGTGTTTCTTGGTTTCCGATTCAACCATAGATGAAAGGACGCTACCATCAGGTGCCAACTCCTCAATAATTGTCTTGATCACTCTGGTTTTGTTAGTATCTGTAAGTTAATTACAATAAAAAACAATAGAATTTAGACTACAATTTGTGGGGTCCTTACTAATTAACGAGCAAAATAGCTAAATCAAAGATATTTACTAAAAATACCTACATCAAAATATCTAAATGCAAAGAAAAATACACCAAAGTGAAAAAAAAAAGAAAACTTCTTTACAGTTACTTTTAAAAACACCAAAGCTACAGCAATTTAGACAATACCGTTTTCCCTTCAAGACTGGTGTCAACAACTATAGTCGGTTAAAAAAAGCATATAAAGATTTTATAAGATTTTAATTTTTAAAATAGTTGTAAAAATAAAAAAAACCAAAAAACTGTTACAGAACTTAAAAAACAAAACCAAAAAACAACAACACAAAAACCCATCAAAAAGTTAAAACTAATTCTGATTACCCCAGCTAGTTTCTGCTGACCTTGGTCCCTTAGATGAGGACTCTCCAACGGACCCTGAAGAAGTGGACTTGTGGCCTCCGCTGGAGCTTCCGCCGCCGTAGCCGCCGCCGGAACTACCTCCGTGACCACCGCCGCTAGAGCTTCCGCCGCCGTAGCCGCCGCCGGAACTACCTCCGTGGCCGCCGGAACTACCTCCGTGGCCGCCGCCGCTGGAACTTCCGCCGCTGTAGCCGCCGCCGCCGCCGGAACTTCCGCCATAGCCGCCGGAACTTCCGCCATAGCCGCCGGAACTTCCGCCGCCGCGCCCGCCGCCGTAGGAGCCGCCGCCGGAACTTGGAGAGTAAACGTTACTTTCCGTTAGCTCTAACGTGGGAAGCTGTGAGTCTATTTCCACGTTATTGTTACTTTATAACCTAGGCAAAAGGTGTTTTGAGGAAAATCACCCCCGCCGGTTATGAACCCGTTCTTTTAAAACAATTATATATGCACCCAAGCCTAAGAATCTTTCTTGTGTCAAATTCGTGGGACATTGAGGCTGGTTGCATACACCTTCTTGTGTACTTTGCCTCCTCTTTTTCCACTTTCTCCCGTGCTCTGACACATCCTTGGGTTTTGGGGAAAGCCTTGCGGCTTGGAACACTGAATAAAAGCAACTGGGATGACTTAAACATTTTCTGTAATTTACCTTCCTTCTCCTTCTAGCAGACTGCGGTAGGTTTGAATTTCATTCTCCAGTCGGATCTTAATATCCAGGAGTTGTTGGTACTCGGCATTCTGGCACTCGGTCTCAGCTCGAATCTGTTGCAGTTGTTCTTCCAGAGAGGAGATCTGGGACTGAATCTGAGAGAGCTGCACACAATAGCGACCTTCTGTCTCTGCCAAGGAGGCTTCCAGGGATTGTTTCTGAAGAGGAGAGAATATATTGTAACTTAACTACTTCATTGTTCACTTAAGTACAGTGAGGCTTGTTTAATAATTTCATGAGAAGAATAAGGAAAGCGAACAAAACAGAAATATTTAATGACTGCTTCATGACCCTGAGTCCCTTTTTGGCTGGGGGAAGTAGAACTATTTATGTTACCTCTTCATGGTTCTTCTTCAGGTAGGCCAGCTCCTCGGTCAAGCTCTCAATCTGCATCTCTAGGTCGGTCTTGGTCAAGGTCAGCTCGTCCAGCACCCTGCGCAGGCCGTTGATGTCGGCCTCCACGCTCTGTCGCAGGGTTACCTCATTTTCATACCTGAAACAAGCATGATACAAATACTGGGTATAACTTATATCAGGGAGGAATTCCTGGGTAGGGACTATTTAGAAACCAAATAAAGAGTTGACTTCGTATCTTGGCAACATTTATCATATTCTGATTCACATAGGGATATTAGTGGTTTAATGCAAAGAAACTTATCATGTACTTTAAAGAGCATCTTATTATAATATTGCCTAAAAGGTAATACTGAGGTTGAAAGTTTCTCTTGACAGCTCCAATACAGTTTAAATTTGAATGGATTGAGGAAAATGTAAATGCTCTTGTGGGCATACATTGTTAAAAACATCTCACGTATTTATTGTGACAGTATTGTGCCACATTTGCTTAGCTTACTTCAGCCTGAAGTCATCAGCTGCCAGCCTGGCATTATCAACCTGAATCAGGATATTGGCGTTGTCTGTTGTCAGGTTGAGGATCTGGAAGGAGAGACAAAGAAATCAGATACAGACACAGCTTTTATAGTGGCGTAGGTGAACTACATTTCTATGGTGTTCTATTACTAAGTCTAGGGGAATTTTTTATTTTAAATCTGACATTGCAGTCTTACCCATATACTTAAAATTGAATCATTTGTTCTCTTGAAATTTCCATACTTTTCTATTTCTATATCTTCCCTTTCTGAAAACTAACTGGATTATATAGCTGTGTTCCTGCATTCAGGTCCCGCTCTTATGCCTGTGTAATTTCCATGTATTTCAGCTAACTTTACTGACTCGTACCTGTATTTGGTTTAACTTGTTTTAAATATATATTCTAAATGAATATAAACAGCATAAAATGCAATTCAAAAATTCCCTCAAGGCAAGCAATACTCCATTTTCATACTGGAAAATTCATGTTTCTTGCAGTGTCAGTAATGAGTATTTGTTGTTTTTCAATCTGAATAATATTTTCTGATTCATTGAATAATTCTTTCAGTCCCTGTGTTTGTACATTTTCTAATGTATTTTAACTGTGGACTCTTACACTCATTAACCCATAAAAAAATTCTCAGTAATCCCCCCATCCTACAAGATATACAACACACATGTTGGATGAAGATCGCAATGACTGTACCCTCACAGCTATTTACCTTTGAAGAGACTGGATTGCTCATGGAAGCAAGAAAGTAATGTAGTCCAACACAGTGAACATTGTAGTTGATTTAAAAATTATCTATCAGAATTACATGCACAAAAAGAGGCTTAAAGTTGCATTTTAAAAATGCCCCTTACCTGATTTTTAAGATCATCGATGATTTGGTAGTATTTGCTGTAATCACGAGGCTCTCGCTGGCTTGAATTGCCATACTTTTCATACCACTCCTTGATTTTGACTTCTAGCTCGTAGTTTGATTCTTCCAGAGCCCGAACTTTGTCCAAGTAGGAAGCCAGGCGATCATTCAGATTTTGCATGGTTATTTTTTCATTTCCAGAGATAAGGCCACCATCTCCTCCAAATCCACCACCCAAACCACCTCCGAAGCTGCCCCCTCCGAAACTGCCCCCTCCAAAGCCACCTCCTCCATAGCTCCCTCCAAAGCTGCCACCTCCATAGCTCCCACCAAAGTTACTTCCATAGCCCCCACCAAAGCCACCACCTAATCCTCCTCCATAGACACTTGATGAGCCCCCAAAGCAGCCTCCAGCAGAGCTCCCACGGCTAAAAGAGCCACCACTGAACCCCCCTGAGCTGAATCCTCCACCAAGAGAGCCTTTGCTGCTCGAAATTCTGAGGGATGATCCTCCTCCTCCTCCGCATCCACTGCGGGAGGAAGAGTATTGCTTGCTTGAGCTGTATCGAATAGACATGGTGATGCTGTTTAGCTCAGGGAGTGCATGGTACCAAGGACAGTGACAAGCCTTTATATACTGAGAGGGTGTGTCCCACATGTGTTAGAGTTTTGCTTACTTGCTTGGTTTTCTTTTTGCAAAATTTGCATCTTTGGCTTATGATTGCATAAATTATCTTAAGTAATCACCAGCCCCAATATGTTTGGTTTTGAATTAGCCTTAAGAACAAACAGGAGGTTTTCTATGTTGAAATTGAAAATGGGTGTTGGTCATATGAGCATTTGTTTCTTTAAACTTTTTCACCTTTTTAGGAACCTTGAGCAACTTGAAATCTAGTTTGTTTTTTTTTCTCAGCACAATTTAGTTTGTACAGAATGTTTGCAAAGTTTAGAAAAAATTTTAAGTCACAAAATCATAGTTAATACTTTTCAAATTCATGTTTTAAACAGTTTTAATTAATTATAACAGCATAAGTTCAGATAGAATCTTGCCATAATAGGGCTGTAGAGTAAACTGCAAACAACCAAAATGAAAATAAAAAACATGTTAAACGATTTGTGTTCAAAAGTTACTGCATATAAATAAAGACATAAAAACACAACTTAAGAAATGCATGTATGTGTATGTTTATAGAAAATCTTTTATTTGGAGAATGAAAGTACATTGATATTTTGTCTAGGAAATTGGAAGTGTGTAATGATTTGGGAATCTTCTAATTTAATGGTGCTTTTTTTTTTAGCATTTAAAGAAATCTAACATCAGGAAGTTATCCTGGATTAAAAAAAATTTTTTTAATTCATTGTAATGAAGGCTTATATGAAGACCACATTGCAGAAATTCTTAGCACAAGATATGAACTAATCTCCAGTATTTTGTTTACTCTAAGTTTGACCAATAGAAAAGGAAGTGATTGTGAGTAAAAATTTTCTTACAAGAATATACCAGATTAGAAAATGATACTTGCTTCAAAATTATGAACTGGTCTGTGAAGATGTGTTTGAAAGCTAGATTCTGTTTCTCAAAAAAATTTTTCCCTTGGATTTACTGTGTGTAGAATTTTATATAACTGTATTTAATAAAGTATTTAATTGGGACTTTTAAAACATGATAGCTCATGTGGGCTTCCCTGATAGCTCAGTTGGTAAAGAATCCGCCTGCAATGCAGGAGACCCCGGTTCGATTCCTGGGTCGGGAAGATCCCCTGGAGAAGGGATAGGTTACCCATCCCAGTATTCTTTGGCTTCCCTTGTGGCTCAGCTAGTAAAGAATCCGCCTGCAATGCAGGAGACCTGGGTTCAATCTCTGGGTTGGGAAGATCCCCTGGAGAAGGGAATGGCTACCTACTCCAGTATTCTGGTCTGGAGAATTTCATGGACTGTATAGTCCATGGGGTCACTAAGAGTTGGACATGACTGGGCGACTTGCACTTTCACTTTAACACATGATATAAAATTATTTTTTAATCTGTCTATAGGATATGGCATTGCTATTCAAAAATATATTCACACATATGTATTTCTGTATATATTCACACACAGTTTACAGTTATACAGTGCTGTTTGTGATGCTGTCATTTTATAACTCAAGCAAGCTGCTGAGATAGGGAAGGTATTGTCTCTATTTTATAGAAGAGGAAGTTGAAGCTGAGAGAGGTTATGATTTTGCCTAAAGAGATAAAATAGGTGGATAAACAAGGTTAGAAAATTGGTCTGAAACCTGGCTTGTGGAGCTTCCTGCGTTACCAGTGTGTGTCTGTATTCTCTGTTCTGGTGGATTTGGTCAGAGAACTGAATGCCTCTTTTTCTTAACCATAAACTTCTCCACATGGGAAGCAACAAAACAAAGCAAAAAGTACTTGGAAACATGAATATGTTGAAAGGGTAGGATGTTTGGCACACACTTTCATTACTAATTGCTTTCTCAAATTAAACTTAAAGCTGCACATTCCAGTTTATGAAAACTATAGAATTAGCTTCTGCGGGGAAAGGGAATGTGGCTGGGAGTGTGAATGAGGTGTTGACTGTGAGAGTGGAGGTTACTACCCAACAATTGCAGCTTCTCCAACTTGTTACCACATGTAAGTGGGGCAGAGTTAAAAAATGAAACTCAGCCGTGGGAATTGATTCTTGCTGAAGATAACATGTAGTAAAGGAAGGTTATGATAAGTCAGACTGGAAAAAAACATTCCAACAAGTTCAGAGAGGATGTTGAAGACCTGATATTAATGAAAGTAACTTAGAAAGAATAGTTAAAGAGATTTTGCTAAATTTTACCTGTAATTATATTTTGGGAGTTGATCTTGCTAATTTTGCTTTAGTATTAGCCTTTTTTTTTTAACCCTGGTGGAAAAATATAAGCATCTCAATCTAGTTTCAGTTAACAGGTAGAGCTCTGTTACTATCACATTAAATCACAGGATTTGTAGAAAGCTTCCTAAAAGTATATGGGAAAAAGTACAAATACAGAAACTTTTCTAATACTGACTGCAGCGTTTAAGCCAACTGTAATTTATCGAAGACTCCTTATTGACTTGTGCACTCTAGAAATTGGTTTATTGAAACCAGCTTTTGGCATGTGTAAAAATTACAGAGGTGCCATGTGATAATCCTGCAGCTAAATTGGATGGAAAATGTACTATGGTCAGCTCTAGTGTTGGCCCTATTTACACCTGATTGCCATAATCCACCATAATCGTAATTTCATCATTCTCAATTTTTGTTGTATCTCTATGTAAGGCACACTGAGAGGTGTTTAAACGATAGGAATGTAAATGAGATTCATCTCCTACCTTTATAGATCTTACCAATTGTTACAATCTAGTCATGGAGACAAAAATATGCACTGTAAGCCCTATGTAAACGGTAAATGAAGTGGGAGGGAGGAGTTAACATTTCCTGAACATTTACGTGTTCTAGGTAGTTTACTCTTCTTTAATCCTCCCCCAAATTCTCCAGATGGGTATTATTTATCTCATTTTATAGCTGAAGAAATGAAGCTTTAGAAAGCTTCAGGGATCTGCCAAGAGTAACACATCTGGTTTCTGCTACAACCTAGTTTTGAATCAGGCCTGCGTGGCTTCAAAGATGATACTGGCTTCATGACACTGAACTACCTGCCACCTTAAGACCGATGAGCAAGGAGTCTGGTTGAATGGGGTCACCTGACAAAGTAGAATTTAAGGTGAGTCTCTGGAAGGATGGGTGGGAGTTTTCCTTATGTTCAGCAGCAGAGAGGACTGTTCTGGGCTGGGGAGTGGGGACTGTGAAATGCCAAGCAGGTGGAGACCAGTTTGGCTGAAACAGATTTGTCCATAGTTATTAATTTCTCTTACAGATTTTATTCAGCTTCTGCAGTATTATTCCTTGGGGATAAATAGGTGACTCAGACAGTTCCTGCCCCTTGATGAGTGTACTTGGAGAGGCAAACAAACATACCCATGAATCAGAATTAGGGTAATCAGGGCTACAGTTGAGGCATGGACAGGGTGTTGAGGGAGTTCAGAGAAGGGAGTTTGACGGTTTGGCATGTGTGTGTGTGTGTGTGTGTGTGTGTGTGTGTGTTATGTGTGAGGACACAGTGAAAGAATAGTGAGATCAAGTTTTGAGGAGAAGACCAATTTAGATTAAAACTCGTGAATTTGAAATAATACTGTGAAAATGTCTTTCAACACTTAGAGTCATAGGACTACAATTCAGGAGAGAGGTTGGAGGAGCAGATTTCAGGATAGTGAGGACCCCTAAGGGAAGGAATTTAGAGAAATGAACAGAGGGTCCAAGTATGAACATTTTTGGAGACAACCACTTGAGGGACTGGTGAGAAGCTAGGGAATAGTACTGAGAAGAGTGATGCTTAGGATATGGGAAAGCAGGGAGAAGGATCATGGAAGTCAAGGGGGAAAGAACCCAGGTAAAGTGGGGTGGTCTCTAAAGGAAGATCAAGGAGAAAGGGGGTTGAGGAAAGATCATTGGTCATTTAGAAGCTGTTGACACCCTTCCAGAGGGCAGATTTAGTAGAGTAGTGGTGGGACAGTCCACCGTGTATATTGGAATTGATGGTTTTGCTTTTGGTATTTATCAGTTTCTTCTCAATTGCTTCTGAGTTTTGTGTCATGGTTAGGATGGATATAGCTCATATTCTCATTGGGTTAATTTATCTGGGGCTCTTGAAATGTGTTGTTGATTTAGCTTTGTTATCAGCTTGATTCATCTCGTTGGGGTTTGGATCTCTTTTCTATTTCTTATTTTGCCTCCAGTAAAATTCTCTTTTGAAGAATTTTTCTAACTGAAAATTCTATTTGCACATTTCTTTCTCTGATTAATTTAGATGTAATAAATCATTTAGTGGCACAAAGAACTGATAATGCAAGTTATGTCTCAAGATGGCAAGGTTGATAAGCTAAATGTTTTAGAATTTTTGATTTATCATGTAAAGTTTGAGAATAAGGCATTCTTTGCTTGAGTGTTCTGTGACTGTGCAAACTGCTGAAATGTGCCTTTGTGATTATGACCTATGGAGTCAACACCAAGTGGAAAGCTGTACACATGTTTGATGGATTTGGTGCCCTCCTCCTGGACAGCTGAATAATTAGGACAGTCAAGATATTGGTAAAGCCCATGTTTTCTCATTGGAAAACTAATACTCAGGGCTCTGAAATCTGGAGAGACTCTGATGTTACACAGTTTTTCTAAAACTGCCAAGGCTGCACTATGATGGACACTGTCAAAATATGGAAACAGCATGAAGGCTTTTCAGTGTAACAGAGTGGTTAGGTGGGTGGGCTCTGGAGTCAGACTGCTTGGGTAACAATCCAGGGCCATCCACTTACTTTGTGACTTTATTTCCGTTTTCTCAGCTCTAATGTGGCATCATAATTTTATCCTATAGAGGTGTAAGTGGGATTTAAATGAATTAATATAAAGCATTTAGAACAGTGCCTGGCATTTCCTTCTGGAGAAGGAAATGGCAACCCACTCCAGTATTCTTGCGTGGAGACTCCTGTGGACAATGGGGCCCGGTAGGCTACAGTCCATAAGATCCCAAACAGTCAGACAAGACTGAAGCAAATTATCATGCATGCATGCTGGCCTTTATAGAATAAGAGCTTTAAAAAGATTTTTCTGTTGCTGTTATTACTATTAACTGTGATCAGAACCTAACTCACAGTTGGTCAGTAAAACATGAGTGGATGAAAAGCTAGGATTCAAAGTTGAAATGCAGCTAGTGAGGAGGAGAAAATGGCTGGGGCCGGGGGATGGTCCAGCAGGGGAAAGGTGTTCTATTTGTTCCATTTGATAACTTTGTGACAGACCATGCTGTTTTTCCGTGAATGACACATGCTCTCATTTTTAACTTCATTCTTTTCTCTCCAACATCCACCACGTTACCAATTTTGTCACTTTTTTTTTGTCCCATCTTATATATTTGTTTCTTTTTGTCTAGTCCCACCACAGTTGTCCTAATCCAGAATTTCATCACTTCTGTCATCAATTACATCACCAGCTTCTGAAGTGGTTTTCTTGGCTCGGTGCCATGTCACCTAAGATTTGTTCTATTCATGGCTGCAAGACGACTGTTCTTGAAAAATACTGTCGTCACCTCATCCACATGCATAAGTACCTAAGGATTTCTCTTATTAGTAGATTATGTCTTTTCGGTTCAGTTTAGTTCAGTCGCTCAGCCGTGTCCGACTCTTTGAGACCCCATGAATCGCAGCACGCCAGGCCTCCCTGTCCATCACCAACTCCCGGAGTTTACTCAGACTCATGTCCATCGAGTCAGTGATGCCATCCAGCCATCTCATCCTCTGTTGTCCCCTTCTCCTCCTGCCCCCAATCCCTTCCAGCATCAGGGTCTTTTCCAATGAGCCAACTCTTTGCATGATGTGGCCAAAGTATTGGAGTTTCAGCTTCAGCATCAGTCCTTCCAATGAACACCCAGGACTAATCTCCTTTAGGATGTACTAGTTGGATCTCCTTGCAGCCTTGCCCTATTCTGTCTGTCCAACCTCATTCTTCCTGCAGTGAGTGAAGGTGGTAGAATGGAAAGATTGTTGCATTCTCCTTGTAAAGTAATTAATAAATATGTGGCCTTGGGCCAGACTCTCAGCCTTTAAAAATAAGCCTGTGTGTCATTTTACTACCCTATAAAATATGGATAATAATAATAGTAAATACTAAAATATGTATATAGTACTACTACTAACAATAACCCATGATACAGTGGAAGAAGGGTGTTAGCATTCCTTAAAAACATCCTTCAATTATAAGCAATCCTTTTTCTCTTAAATCTTGGCCAAGACACAATGGTTTATCCTATTTTAAGGCCTTTGTTGGCCTTATTCAAATCAAGTCCAAACCACTCTCCTTCATGAGACTTCTCACCTTTAGTCTAGCCATGGCTGTCTCTTTCTTTTAATTTCCTGTGTGTACAGCCTAGTAGTTTATAGTATGATATAATTATTATTGTTCCCAATGAGATAAGACATGAAAGCTCGTTTAGAGAAGAGAGGGTACCTTTTTCTCTTGCTGCACCTAGTAGATACTTAATGTTTTCTGAATGTTTTCTTGTCATCTCAGAGCCTTTTCCCATTTTCTTTTCTTTGCCTTTATTTTGGTCTCAAAACTCTTCTTGCCTAAGTTTTGGCAATATACAAGTTTAAAATTTAAATAAAGGCTAGTTGAAGACAACTAATTTGATTTTTCTTTAAAGCTAGTTGTAATAATTTTCAGATATGAGAACATTGTATAGGAACAATAAGAAATCTAAGATTCTGCATAGGAATTTTTAGATATCTTAAAATATATGATGATATATACCTTAGATTATGTATGTGCCATGCTTAGTTGCTCAGTCATGTCTGACTCTTTGAGGACTGTGGCCCACCAGGCTCCTCTGTCCATGGGAACTTTCAGACAAGAATACTGGAGTGGGTTGCCATTTCCTCCTCTGGGGCTTTGTAGAATAAATTAGTATTATTTATGTTTAAGTGGATACATGTAATGCGCCTAAATTGAAAAAAAAAATCTTCTGAAGTTAATCTCTTAATTTTATTGTTTAGAGATTGTTAAAATACTGAACTGAAAAAGAGTCAAGAAACTTATCAGTTTCATAACAAATTAATAAAAGCTCTTGTCAGAATCAACTCATTTTTGTGCGTGCGGTGGGAATGGTAAACAATAGATTTAAATAATTATTTAACTGTAGCACAATAGCAGTAGAGAAAATTTACCATAACTGTTCAGTGAACTTCCTCCACAAGGCTGAAGATTGAAAACAACTGAAGAGTTAATAATGTCTTGGAGTAAATGCATTAATTAAATATACAGCATTTGCAGTCAATCCTCAGATAGAGCTTGTAGAGCTTATTAAAACTTTCCTATGTTCCAAGGGCCTGTGCTAAACACTTGACCTGAATGTTTCTGTCATTAAATCCTGAGCAAGTGAAAGGGGTAACTTTTATTTTAACTGAAAAATTAGTAGCTTGTCCAAAATTATTCATTAAAAGGATTTGAACACAGACCTATCTTCAGAGCTTTCGCTTTAATACAATGAGCAATGCCTACAGCTCTCCTCAAGTAATGTGGAATTGCATTTTCTAGTCTTGTAATTTAGAAATTAGCAAGAACATAAGGGATTTTACTTTCTTTCTCGGATTGGACAAGCTCTTCTTTTTTTTTTTTTAAATAATTTTTAAACTTTATGTATGTATTTTTGGCTGTGCTGGGTCTTCATTGCTGTGTGGACTTTTCTCTAGTTGCAGCAAGCTGGGGGTGCTCTTCCTTGCAGTGTGCTGGCTTCTCTTGAGCACAGGCTCTAGGGTGCACAGGCTCCAGTAGCTGTGGCACATGGGCTCAATAGTTTTGATTCCTGGGCTCTCGAGCACAGGCTGAATAGTTGTGGTACATGGGCTTAGTTTCTCTGTGGCATGTAGAATCTTCTCAGGCCAAGGATTGAACCCAAGTCTCCTGCATTCACAGGTAGATTCTTTACCACTGAGCTACCAGAGAAGCCCAAACAAGCTGTTCTTATCTTTGTTACATTTGTGATGAAAAAATGGACTAATTTGAAAAGAAAGCTTTCGAAAAGAAAGTGATTTAATACAGCAAGAATTCTTGCTTTTGAAGAGGTCAGGCTTGTAGGTCTCATCTACTCAGGCTACACTCTTAACTGAAGTTGCCTCCTACTTGGTTTTCTAGGGGTTCCTAACTCTGTCTGGATTGTCCTAAGCTCCAGACCAGTCATTAAAATAACAAACCAGAGCAATTAGCCACCATGATTAATTCCCATGATTAATCACAGTGTTAATCCCTTCTTAAATGCTGGTTTTTCCACTCAGAGCTAACACCCATTACAGAGATTAACTGCATTTTAAAAATCAGGTTTTTACTCTTTACATGTAAACACAAGGTGCATATCTGAAGTAATTTTAATAGTTAACTGTGACAGAAAGAGGTTTTGTTGCTTTGGGACTTTCCAGCTCTTTGATGTCTCTTACAAATATTTTCCATATTGATCATTTTGGTTAAAATGTGGAGTTTCGATTAGAATTTTCTAACTCTAAAACTTGGGGCTGCTCTGGTAGCCCAGCTGGTAAAGAATCCGCCTGCAATGCAGGAGACCCCAGTTTGATTCCTGGGTTGGGAAGATCCCCTGGAGAAGGGAGTGGCTACCCACTCCAGTATTCTTGCCTGGAGAATTCCATGGACTGTTTAGTCCGTGGGGTCACAGAAAGTCAGACACAACCAAGTGACTTTCACTTTTCACTTTCAATCCTAAAGCTTAGAAATGATTGGATATTTATAGAATAGAACTGTAAGGTGTTATATGTTATTTTTTCCCCCCTTGACATCTTGGATATAATTGCTACTATTTAAATAGGATGTAGTAGGATTACTTTTTTTTCAACTATCCAAGGATGAGGACTCCACAACCCCTATCAGGATAATTATCATTAGCAATCTGTCACACTGATATCCAATAAGTTGCTCGAAGTGTAAGAATATTAAGAATAACAAGAACTGTCACCACTTTCAACACTAACATTTGTTTAACATTTACTCAGTGCCAGGCACTCTATGGTCTTTATGTACGTTTTCTCATTTAGCCCACTTAACAACCCTATGAGGCAGATACTACTTTAGATCTTTTCCCTCCCGCCCAGAGGAGGAAACTGAAGAGTTGAGATGGTTATATATTGTACACAGGGGTAATACAGCTAATAAATTCATAGTGGAACCAGAGTTGAAACCGAGTCTGCCTCCTCTAGATCCCATACTCTTAACCATGACCTTTTACTGCCAAATGTCTAATTAAACTTTGCTTTGTGATTTCAAAGACAGCCCCAGAAATGTGAATTACAGTGGTAAAAATGGAACCTGTTCCAGCCTATAAATGAACTAAATGAAATTTTTAAGGTGAGCAGATTTGAAGAACGTTCCTTTTTGTTTAGCTGATTTTAAAATGTTATTTTTAAAGATGTTCTGCCAACACTATGATGTGGATATGTTTTGAGGGTATGGATTTGACTGATTTAGGTGTAGATCAGTCACAATAGTAAATTATTTTATGCCACATGCTATTTAGCCTGGTAGTCTAGGTTTGATTAAGTATACCCAATAATTTAAGAACTGAGTATTTCATCAAAGGGCTAGGGTTTTAGTGGGTTAAGCCTGGAGAATTCCATGGACTGTTTAGTCCGTGGGGTCACAGAAAGTCAGACACAACCAAGTGACTTTCACTTTTCACTTTCAATCCTAAAGCTTAGAAATGATTGGATATTTATAGAATAGAACTGTAAGGTGTTATATGTTATTTTTCCCCCCCTTGACATCTTGGATATAATTGCTACTATTTAAATAGGATGTAGTAGGATTACTTTTTTTTCAACTATCCAAGGATGAGGACTCCACAACCCCTATCAGGATAATTATCATTAGCAATCTGTCACACTGATATCCAATAAGTTGCTCGAAGTGTAAGAATATTAAGAATAACAAGAACTGTCACCACTTTCAACACTAATATTTGTTTAACATTTACTCAGTGCCAGGCACTCTATGGTCTTTATGTACATTTTCTCATCTAGCCCACTTAACAACCCTATGAGGCAGATACTACTTTAGATCTTTTCCCTCCCCCCCAGAGGAGGAAACTGAAGAGTTGAGATGGTTATATATTGTACACAGGGGTAATACAGCTAATAAATTCATAGTGGAACCAGAGTTGAAACCGAGTCTGCCTCCTCTAGATCCCATACTCTTAACCATGACCTTTTACTGCCAAATGTCTAATTAAACTTTGCTTTGTGATTTCAAAGACAGCCCCAGAAATGTGAATTACAGTGGTAAAAATGGAACCTGTTCCAGCCTATAAATGAACTAAATGAAATTTTTAAGGTGAGCAGATTTGAAGAACGTTCCTTTTTGTTTAGCTGATTTTAAAATGTTATTTTTAAAGATGTTCTGCCAACACTATGATGTGGATATGTTTTGAGGGTATGGATTTGACTGATTTAGGTGTAGATCAGTCACAATAGTAAATTATTTTATGCCACATGCTATTTAGCCTGGTAGTCTAGGTTTGATTAAGTATACCCAATAATTTAAGAACTGAGTATTTCATCAAAGGGCTAGGGTTTTAGTGGGTTATTTATTGTATCACTTACCCAGACTTTCCATTCATTAGCTTATTGTACTTTTCAATCTCATTTACCAGTCAAGTCTTCACACAGGAGTTGTTCTGTTCAACATTCCAGCTCTCTGCTTGAATACTGATTTGTTGAGCTTGACACCCCCGCCCCCCTCCGATTGCTGATTGCTTCTTGCGTTTGTGAATGTCGACAACAGTAGTTATTGATACTTCTTTTGGTTTTTTGGTTTCTGTCAAACTAGAATCCAAGGATTGCTTCTGAAGGAATGAAGTAAAAAAAGATGATTCATTAAAAATTTCAGAGTAGAAAAACAGAGTTGAACATAATCTAAACTACTACAAGACAAAACTTATTTACCTATATATCAGAAGTTATAAAAGAAAATACATTTAGCTGAAAAGTTCCATAACAGTCCCAGAAAGGTATGAATTTAAACTACACAGTTTAAATTGTAATTTTAAATCAGCTGTTCTAAATTTATTTATTCTTTGAATTGTGTCTTTCTCTCTTCTTCTAATCTACTGTTCTTCTCTCGTTTAGCCCCTAAACAGAGTTGCATTTAATTTTTATAGTGTAGACATTGTTCTTTTTTTTTCTCCATTTGTTTTTATTAGTTGGAGGCTAATTACTTTACAATATTGTAGTGGTTTTTGCCATACATTGACATGAATCAGCCATGGATTTACATGTGTTCCCCATCCCGATCCCCCCTCCCACCTCCCTCACCACCCGATCCCTCTGGGTCTTCCCAGTGCACCAGCCCTGAGCACTTGTCTCATGCATCCAACCTGGGCTGGTGATCTGTTTCACCCTTGACAGTATACTTGTTTCAATGCTGTTCTCTCAGAACATCCTATCCTCGCCTTCTCCCACAGAGTCTAAAAGTCTGTTCTGTACATCTGTGTCTCTTTTTCTGGTTTGCATATAGGGTTATTGTTATCATCTTTTTAAATTCCATATATATGCATTAGTATACTGTATTGGTATTTATGTTTCTGGCTTACTTCACTCTGTATAATGGGCTCCAGTTTCATCCATCTCATTAGAACTGATTCTATGGAGACATGAAATTGTTTGAGAAATCTGTGACCTCTCAGTAACTGTCACATGTGAATAGTGGACTTCTTACCAGATATCACTGGATCTGAAGCTCTGATTCCAGTGGCTACAGGGTTTGCCACAGCTTACCACCTTGCTCCTGTTGGTACTTGTCTTTTTAGCAGAAGTTGGTACTTGCCCATTCAGTTCTTTACCCTAAAATATTAGAGGAGAATAAAAATATAAACATTGTACCAGCTTTCGTGAGCTCTGTTTAATGTTGGGTCCTTTTTTTGGGTGATGATAGGTTTACTTTTTCATTAAACCAGACATCAGTTTTTTTGTGATTTGTTCTGCTGAGACCTCAGATTGCCCCCTCCTGTGGTTCAGCAGGGCAGTCAGGTCCACTCCTCGGCCATCTTGATTTCTACATTGACTTCAACATGAGATAACATTGTCAACCCTCATTTCCTGATCCAAAATAAAATAGGGAATACATGTAAATCCATGGCTAATTCATTTCAATGTATGACAAAAACTACTGTAATGACGTAAAGTAATTAGCCTCCAACTAATAAAAATAAATGGAAAAAAAAATTCTTTATAAAATGGGAAAAAAAAATAATCGATACACCACAGGTTACTTTTTCTTTTGCATCTGCAATATGGTAATTTAAAAGGATTGAAAAGATGAAAATGGAAATGTAGATTTTAGAAATCATTTTTAAGGTTTTAAAAGATTTCTAGGAGATTATAAAATAGTGTTCCTAGATTTAGCAAATAAAAATACAGGATGCCTGCTCAATTGAATTTGAATTTCAGATAACCAATGAATACTTTTTTTTAGAATGTACCCCATATAGTATTTGGAAATGTTTGTACTAAAACACTTATTCATTGTTTATCTGAAATTCCAATTTAGCTGAGTTCCCTGTATTTTATCTGACAACTCTGTTTCAGAAATATTCAAGGAAATATTCACTGGTAGTCCAGTGGTTCAGACTTGACACTTTCACTGCTGCAGTCCCTTGTCAGGGAACTAAGAGTCCCACAAGCCACGTGGTGCAGCCAATATATATATATATATATATATATATATGTGTGTGTATATATATATATATATATATAGAGAGAGAGAGAGAGAGAGAGAATGTAATAAAAGATAATATTTTTATATTTTAAAAGGATTTTGGTGTGATTCATTTGTTCTTTACTGCCACTGTGAGGGGTAAGTTTTGCTGGGAGGAGTGAGAAGGGCTGTTATTATTCTTTAATTAGCATACAGTTGAGACCCAGAGAGTAACAGTTCAACAAAGCCATGGATGAACATGCATGAACCTGAATCCAAGTCTTCTGATTCTTAGTCCAGCACTGTTTTTAAAATTTTGAGACTTTTGCAAAATATGAAAAAGCACGATTAAGATTCAGAAGGACACAGATATTAATAAATAAGAAATCCCACATTCCCACCGCCCATCATTGCTGACCCCAGTTTTTCACATTCACGTCGGACTGAGTGACCTTTCCAGCATGGTGCATTACCATGCTGCTCTGAGAAAGCATCATATTTATCCATACCCTCTCATGACCCAGGCGCCTGTGGGTCATTACTGAGGTCAGAGGCCTAGGCAGGGGGAGGCAGATGGGAAAAACCTAGTAGACATGTTAACTTTGTAGTCTGTGTTATATTACCTGTGCTTTATGAAATGCATGTCTCACAGTGACACTATCATTGTATCTTCATGTATGCTACTGTACTGAGACTTTTGGTTACATTTCATGTAATTCCTGACTCCAGGAAAGGTGCTAGATTCTCTAATTACTGAGTACAGTCCTGGGGATATTCTGCAACTTTGTAAAAATAAGTCTCTGATCTATGATTTGAGGGTCATATGCCATAGGTTACATTTCAAAGAACTGGAATTTTTCAGATAGCTACCCTACAGTTGCTATTTATTGTAATTTGAATGTTTTAAAACAGATTGTTATATGTTGGGATGTTTAATAATATGAAAGAGTGATATTGTAAATTTGGGAGTAATTGCTTGTTAAGTTAGAGTGAATATGGGGAAAATATTTTCTTGATAATCAATCCTTTACATGTTTTCTGACTTAACTTGAGCTGGAAGTCCACAGTGAGTCTGGAACCGTTGATCTGAGGCAGAGTGTTGACGTTTTCCAAAGTCATGTTTGTATTGACTTTGGAGAGAGAAAAAGGAACCATATCATTCAATAGAATTCATTGGGTGCTATTAGGTCCAGATTATATACTTCACTGATTTCAGTTATCATAACTATATGCCAATCATAAGTATATTTGTATAAACTAAATAAACATCTGTGTAGTTTAAATTTGTACCTTTCTGGGACTGTTATGGAACTTTTCAGCTAAATATTTTCTTTTATAACTTCTGAAATACAGAAAAATAAGGCAAATATTCCTCTCTATGAGTGTCAAGCCATTTCATGTTAATTTTTATGCAGTTTAGATATTTTTCTGTTTGCATTAATTTGTTTGATATGATGGATGTTGGCCAGCAAAAAAAGTGTTTTCTAGGTAAGACAACTTTCCTGAGTTTTAAGGTCCTCCATTAGTGATGTAATGTTTGCTGTAGTGTTGAGATTGATCATTCATGCCTCAGTTTCCAAAATTCTCATACCATCTTTTTCTTTTGAATTCAGTGTCAGCACTGGTATTTTCTAGGTGATGCACCTTATGAAAGTAGGAGACTATCAATTTAAATTATGCATATTTTCCCTCTAATTACTTGCAGTAAGACACCATCATCATTTCCAATGCTCCCATTTGTTCCAGCACTCATGCTGTTCCACTCTGTGCCAGTGACCAACCCAGTCCCAGAACCATAAACTCCTCCACATGGTCCCCTACTTCTCCGAGCCCCCTACAATGCCACAGCTTCCCCTAAGGCCTTAATAGACAGACCCATAGCTACATCTAGCACTTCTCTGCTACCAAAACCCAGAGGAATAAGCCATTGAGTGCAAGAATAGCTGAGGTCAAGGTCAAAGTATAGCCTCAAAGTCAGTGCTCTATGGAGACTATTGTAGAGCTTTACATGTATGTACCACTGTAACACAACATTTTTAATGAGAAGTTTTTTAAGTATAGTGTTTTTTTTGAGTCAACTTAATTTTTCTACCCCTTAGTTTAGCAATTGATGAGCCACATATACTGAAGCGGTGCCGCCTCAGGGTGTTGAGTATATGTGACAGAAAACTATGTGTGAGTGGGAAAAACAGAGAAGTCCATTCTTTCATGGTTTTGCCTTTTGACTATGGTGAATCATCATTTTTTTTTTTTTTGAAGCCCTGCCTTGCAGACGCTCTTTTAACAGAGAATCTTTGCTTCCTTCTGACCTTATATTCATCATTCTCATGCTGTTTAGCCTAGCTCAGGTTTCTCTCTCTTCCCCCATGTAGCTTTTCAAGCCAACTACTAGTCCCTTTCCAGGGGGTACATGTGGAGTAGTGCATACACTTTGGAGTTAAACAGAGCAGTGATTGAGTCCTGGCTTACTGTTTTCCTGCTTGGGTAAATGTTAGTTATCTTCTCTGAATCTCGGTTTTTTTATTTCTGAAACTTCCAAAAGATGTTAGGAAAATGAATGAAAAACAAGTAATAGTGCCTGGCACTTAGTTGGCACTCAGTAAATTCTCATTCTCTCACTTCTCCCTCTTACTTCCCCACTTTAGCTCACAGTGCTCTCTAACACTCACTTTTATCTAATTATATCACATCTTCATTTAAGAAATATTTATTGCATGCTTAGTGTGTGCCAGGGACTCTTTTTAGACAGTTAGTTACAGGCCCTTGAATTTTGGCAATTATCACGTATGCTTCTTGATCAAAGTTCCTTATAAGCTCAACATCTGAGCGTGCATTGATTCTAGATATTCATGCACATATTGAACCTTGAGGAGTTGCCTTTAGACAAAATTGTGGAGTTGTTCAAGTTTGTTGTTGGCATTTCTACTCTTTTCTTTCTTTGCTCTGTCTTTTTGACCATCTTTTTGAGGTCAGACTCTCTGCCTTTCATCTGAAGCCATGGGCTATCTTGTGTTTTAACTTTTTTTTTCTGTCTAAAGAAAAGATAAAATGCTCTTCATTTCAGTTCAGTCACTCAGTCATGTCCGACTCTTTGCAACCCCATGGATTGCAGCATGCCAGGCTTCCTTGTCCATCACCAACTCCCAGAGCTCGCTCAAACTCATGTCCATCGAGTTGGTAATGCCATCTAACCATCTTATCCTCTGTCACTTCCTTCTCCTTTTGCCTTCAATCTTTCCCAGCATCAGGGTCTTTTTCAGTGAGTCAGTTCTTTGCATCAGATGGCCAAAGTATTGAAATTCAGCTTCAGCATCA